TTTGTTTGTGTGTGTGTGTGTGTGTGTGTGTGTGTGTGTGTGGAATTACCTCATCCTCTGAAATCAATCATTATGAAACTGGACCAAGTGAAATGGTTGGGCAGGCTCTATTTAACAGAGACTTGATTAAATCCCTTCAGCAATGTGATGGTTGAACTGTGCCAAACCTTCCCGGATCACAGGACAGATGCATGTGGCAGAGAGGTTTTAAGCACCTAATCTAGATCAGTGCTTCAAGTCAATGATCAGTACTATTATTTTGGATGGTTTTGTTTGGTGAAAACAACAGCCTAAAGGACTGGCAGCATAAAACTGCCAGGAGATACCCACTTGTAAGTTATAGAATGCATTTCTGCAAAGAACGAGCACTGTGGATTTTGTATCAGTTGTGTATCAAATAAATTCCCGAAACATCCACCAATCAGCACCTAATGATGTATAGCGTCATTGTCAGTGCAGTACTGATTGATTATTTGGAAAAGTAATGCATGTGACTTACATTTTTACAATGGTGTTCTCACTGCAGTTCATCTTAAACATTAGTATTCTTGTAAAATCCTTATCTAACAATATCAGTGCTGACTAATGGCTTAACTTTGCCTTTTTTGCAAACAACTTATTGTATATTTTTATTACTCTACTATAGCCCAGCACCGGGAAGCCTGCCAGCTCACAGATTCACAATGCCTGGGACCACAGCAGGGAAGAAGCTGGATCTCTCCAAGCTCACAGATGAGGAGGCCAAACATGTTTGGGAAGTCGTCCAGCGAGATTTTGATCTGAGGAAGAAGGAGGAAGACAGACTTGGGTAAGTTAAAAATATCACATATCTGTTTTATTTCAATTTGATAAACATCTTTCCCTCAACTAACCACAGAAAGCCACCGTGTATATGGCTTAAGGATTAATCTCACTATTGATTTTCTCTTCTTTTATCTTAGTGGGGGTAAGTAGTAAGTAGTTTTGTTGCCTAAACCTAACCAAATTACAAGCATTTCACAACATTAACTACCCTCCGTTTCTCAAGGTTAACCCTTTGTATTATTTTGAAAGTCTAACTGGACCGCAGACTTGTATAGCCTATATAAATCTGGATCAGTATCTTAGACTAATCTTGACATTTGTTTTTTAACACTTATGAGGCTATTCTAATTCCACAGATAAACAGTCAGTGAACTGACACAGTGACAGCAATAACACAGCAATAGCTAAAATTAGCTAACATTCTTTCAAAAGATACATCAAAAGTAAGTTTATACATAGGTCAGTAAACTGGACACTGTAGACAAAAAGACAACTTAAATGTGGTATTTCATAGCACTCATAAAGGTTCAGAATTTAGTAGAGATTGACCTGTCTTTACCAATATCCAGCAACTAACTAACGATCATTTTGATACACAAATCTGTCTGTCAAAGTCTACTTCATATATCTGGTAGCGTGAGTTATGAGTTCAATGCATTTTTAGGTTTTCAAAAATGATGTCCTCCCACCTCATAAGGCTCACCGTGGTTTGGTCTGCTGTCTACCCTTTGCAAACCCTCAGCAACTTTATTTCTAAAAAGCAATTAGCGACAAATCTAGTGAATTATTCAGACCAACAGAGAAATGAACAACAGTCTGTTATATTGTTGGCTAATTTATTGCCCTGCATTCTGCTCAGAGTAACCTCAGTCAGCGTCTCTCGTCTCTCGTCTCATACTGCATGCACGCAGGCAGGACTGACGTTGGGTTACTATAGTTATGGGGACACTGTTTGTCTCTGTCACTCTGAAACTTCATGACAACACAGGAGAGCATGAACAGGGAGACAACACAGGAGGAGAACATGGAGACAAAACAGGAGGAGAACAGGCTGAAAACACTGGGAGAACAGAGAGACAACACAGGAGGAGAACAGGGAGACAACACAGGAGGAGAACAGGGAGACAGCACAGGAGGAGAACAGGCTGAAAACACAGGAGGAGAACAGGGAGACAACACAGGAGAGAGCAGGGAGACAAAACAGGAGGAGAACAGGCTGAAAACACTGGGAGAACAGGGAGACAAAACAGGAGGAGAACAGGCTGAAAACACAGGAGGAGAACAGGGAGAAAAAACAGGAGGAGAACAGGCTGAAACACAGGAGGAGAACATGCTGAAAACACAGGGAGAACGGGGAGACAACACAGGAGGAGAATAGGGAGACAAAACAGGAGGAGAACAGGGAGACAAAACAGGAGGAGAACAGGGAGACAAAACAGGAGGAGAACAGGGAGACAAAACAGGAGGAGAACATGCTGAAAACACAGGAGGAGAACATGCTGAAAACAGGGAGAACAGGGAGACAACACAGGGAGAACAGGGAGACAACACAGGAGGAGAACAGGGAGACAAAACAGGAGGAGAACAGGGAGAATAAACAGGAGGAGAACATGCTGAAAACACAGGAGGAGAACATGCTGAAAACACAGGGAGAACAGGGAGAGAACACAGGAGGAGAACAGGGAGACAAAACAGGAGGAGAACAGGGAGACAAAACAGTAGGAGAACAGGCTGAAAACACAGGAGGAGAACATGCTGAAAACACAGGGAGAACAGGGAGACAAAACAGCAGGAGAACAGGGAGACAACACAGGAGACAAAACAGGAGAAGGGAGACAAAACAGGAGAAGAATGGGCTGAAAACACTGGGAGAACAGGGAGAAAAAACAGGAGAAGAACAGGGAGGCAAACTAGGAGGAGAACAGGGAGACAAAATAGGAGGAGAAGAGGGAGACAGCACAGGAGGAAAAAGGCTGAAAACACAGGAGGAGAAAAGGGAGACAAAACAGGAGGAGGACAAGCTGAAAACACTGGGAGAACAGGGAGACAGAACAGGAGGAGAACAGGCTGAAAACACTGGGAGAACAGGGAGACAAAACAGGAGGAACAGGCTGAAACACAGGAGGAGAAGAGGGAGAAAAACAGGAGGAGAACAGGCTGAAAACAC